ATATATATATATATATATATTACTATTCGTAATCTATGTATAAAAGAAACCTTGAAACGCAGATAATTTAGAAACAAAAATAAGAGAAATTTTGACGAAACTAGAACAAGTTTATTATAAGTATTGGAAAAGCCACATTATAGTTTGGATTACGATCTTATAATTCTATAAGACAAGTGAAAGTGAAAGACAACAAACACGTTTAAAGCATGATGATGAGGTAATTAATATTTAGTAGCTATCTGTTGGAGAGAATCGAAGAGTTGTTGTGGGACGCAAAGCATAGGCATGTGATCTGCGCCTTTGATCTCTAGAACGTCATTGAAGACAACATTTTGGATCATCCAGTGCTGATATTCCACAGGAATTGCAAGGTCCTCGGTGCATAGAACAAAGACACGTGGAACTGACCCATATCCATCTTTCGAGAACTTCTTTTGCGTTGACAAGTCTTCCATGAAGAGTGACGATGGCCTTGCTAAACTCTTGGCCAATTGAAGGTCCTGCAAGATCCAAAACTCTTTAATATTCATTGAAAACCTTTCCAAGAGATGAATTAAAAACAAAGATCATTGATGCAAGTGCCATAACTCTTAATAGGTAGTTACCTCGATGGAGGTGAGCTGATACAGCTTGTCAGATATGAACTTGGGACCAAAGAACATTAATGTTTTGCTTCCACATGGCGAAAATTCAGTGTCTAACCATGCGGCCGATTCAGTCCTCTCATTGTACTGTTCAAGTAAAAATCATTCTCTCATTCTACTACTTAATTGTAATTGAAAGCAAAAGGAAAAGAAACTTGTAAGGATAATTGAGGATCAAAAGATTTTTCACTTGTTAAGAATGATCTTTGCAAGAGAGTTCACATACTCCTAATTTCTATGCATCGTAAACGGAAACTGTATAATTAAGATGTTCGAAAATTGGATTTATTTGAGGCATTTTGACCAGAGCAAGAGAGAAGTCGGATCACTGTTTTGAATGCTTCAAACGTGGTATAAGGTTAATTATGTAAGGAAAAAGGAAGAGAAAACGACAACATAAAAGTTTTTTGTCTTCTATATTAATTAATTGAATATAGTGGTGACTTTTGTCTGTCAATGAGTAACATTATTTGCATTAGGTGGGCAGGCATTTCACTTTGCAAATAAAATAGTTCAAAAATTTGCAGTGGTAGTATGAAGTATCAGAAGCATACCTTTTCCAGAACATAAGATGGGTGGTGTTCAATGTCTGGAGTAAAAGCCGTTAAGAAAACACCAACCGAAACTTTTTCTGGGAATTTCTCCATGGCAAGTGCTATGTTGAGTCCCCCAAGGCTATGACCGACCAGAATAACCTTTTCATTTGGGGGAATTGTCGCCAATAGCTGCAGTAAAGGCTCAGAGTACTGTGAGAAAGTATGAACATCTTCAATTTTCTGCAGGTTGATGCCGGAAGCTGCAAGGTCGAGCACGGTCACCTTGTGGCCAGCAGATTCCAAGCGGGGCTTGAGCTTGTACCAGCACCAAGCTCCATGGCAAGCCCCATGCACCAGAACAAAATGCTTATTTTCTGAACCCATGTTTTCTTCTGAGGCTTGTAGTTATTACTTTGCATTTCTCTTCTCTATTTATAGTGAGTAATGGGTCAGGGCTTTTCAAATTTTGAAAAGTCAAATCATGACTCACATTTTCTTTTCTTTCCTTATCAAGACGTATTGTGCAGAAATTTTTCACGAAACTAAATGCGACAAGGAAAAAATAGCACAGGAACAGGAAAAAAAAGCTTGAAAGACAATGAGCACATGTCAAGTTTTGATGTGGGTTTGGGTAGGCGCAAAAGTTTTCAAGTAGTTGCATTATGTTCTTTGATTTCTTTTTCTCATATAACATGTTTTTTTTTTCTTTTAATTTACGAAGATCATGGATAGCACAATTTTGTAAGAGGTTAAATTTTAATTTTTGAAAAACCAAATTCTAACTTCTTCTTTCAATAATTTTTACAAAAAGATACCTTAGGATTTGGATTTTCGAAAAACCAAATTCTGATTTTGTTTTTAAATGGTTTTTGCAAAAAGTTATATTAAAAATCTAAAACAATTTTATAAAACTTTGAAGGTCTAAACAATTTTTAAAAACCGTATAAATCTTCAACAATTTTTAAAATAGTTAAAATTTTAAATAATTTTTCAAAAACAGTTGAAGACTTAAATAATTTTCAAAAATTATTGAAGATTTAAACGATTTTTTAAAATTGTTACAAGTTTAAACAGTTTCAAAAACTGTTAAAAACTTAAACGGTTTCCAGAATAGTTGAATTCTTAGAAGTTATTCAAAAATATTTGAAGGTTAAATTAATTTTTAAAATATTTTTTAAACTTTTGTTTTTAATTTAAAATTAATAAATAATTTTATCATACAATTTTATCATACATCTTTTTTTTTTACATCAAGAGTAGAACATTTAGAGTTGAAAACAAAAATAATTTGAAGATACATTACTGTATTTATAAATTATTTTCAACTATTATAACTTTTTCTCAATAAATACTTTTAAAAAAATTGTTGATTTTCTACTGTCAACGTCAAAGTTGCAAACTTATACCACTGCTCTCTTCCGTATGATTTTCGAAGACTGCACCGCCTGTACTTTTTTATACTTATCATATTTTATTTGACTGTCAAAAAAAGTTGTAGCAGATTCGTTGTTGATGGTAATCAAATCAAACAAATTATTGAAACTAAGAGGTGAATCACATGCCACATAAGGATAACTAGTACCATTAAAATGGTCATCCAAGATTCGGTTTCACTTGTTATAGGTTAATTATTTGATGAGGGGATAAATATAGTCCTCGAGTATTATATTATTTTAGATTTTGTTTTTTTTTCGAAGTTTTGTTTAAAGAAACTTGAATTTTTAATCGGGCTAATTTAATGTCACGTTGTAAACTTATAAATTTTGTCTCTCTCCACAACAACTATCACATCTTCTTCTTTTTATCCTTCCACCAACATGTCACTTCTTCTCCATCGTCTTCCTAACCCTAATATCCAAGCTTTTCAGTTTTAATGACCCTGATTCTGTTAATGAAATGCATTTTTAATCTCTACTGATAAGAAGATATTTGTATTGATTACGGGTGATGGTGTTGTTCTTGCATTAAGGTTGTCGGCAACACTAGTAGCGACAGCCTTTGGATCACGGTTAAGGATGAACACATTTCAAAAAAAAAAGTGATGTGGCACACCGTTAGTCACATCAGATTTAAATTTAACGTTGTTGTTTGTTGAGGACTATAAATTTGAGTTTTTTAAGGAAGATGATAAAAATGAACAAAACTTTGGAAGAGAGACTGAAAACATACTTAACCTTTTAATAAATCAAATCAATCTAGTTTATTTACTAGTAGGTTTAAAATTTTTAAATTTGGTTTGATTCATTATAGATTAGTGGATTAAATAGGTTGATTCACTTACTCACTAAATTATAATTTTTTTTTCTTTTATCTTAAAAAAGTAATAATTTTTTTAATTAAAATATAAATAAAATTTAATCCAAATGCAATAAAAAATGATGTCAAACTCCAAATATAATTCAAAATATAAAAAATATAATACAATCCAAAATCAAGTTAAACTCCAAATACAATCAAAAAACACAAAAATATAAAATAGATTACTATCTATCATCAAATCATTGTTGTTACTTATATATCTATAATGTTAGAGTCTAGAATGAATAAATTTATAACATATCTTGATTTAGGATTTTCATCATTTTAATATAATTTAAAATTTATAGATGAGATGGTTATCCAATCTAACTCTTCACAGATTATCTGTGTGAGTTAAATTTTTAGTAAACTAGGTTCAATTTGACTTGTTTAAAATTTGTAATTTTTTTTTAAATCCAATCTCAAACTAATGATGAACTGAATTAACTAATATATTTTAACATATTGACAATACTAATTACAACCATGGTCAAGATGAAACCCTCTAAACTAGATCTCGAGGGCTTTAGTATATGTGACAAAAAGTTATATTTTTCTCTGAGCAATTTCTTCAATTTTGTTCTTAACATAAAATAACAGCGAACGTCACATTAACTTTTGATATGAAAATATTGGTTTCCTAATTTCATATTAAATAATCACAAACATTTAATCATTGATTACATGCATGTTTTAAAAGAGAATGCACGATTATATAAAAACTATTTGTTGTAGCTTTTGTTTGGGTATATTTTGGTTTTTTAAACTCATTTTCATTCACTAGTACAGAAAAGACTTTAGACATATGTTATTTTAGGCTTTTAACGTCTGATCTTTGTCCAATGTCTATATGGGTGACGTTAATGAGACGTCTATATAGACGTCCGATTCATACTGGTCAGACGTCTCTGAGGTTGCTCCTAACTCATGGTGATTCGAGTTTACAACTTTATATTTTAGTTGAAGAGAATGGATTGTACGTTTTCTTTGTATTGAATGGTTTTAAAAACGTAGTGGAGGGAATTAGAGGAGTGCAAAACGCAAGAAATCGCCGCCGAAGAATGCCGTCGAAGGACACGAGAATAACTACACTAAAACCCAACAAAAATACATTTTAATCGGTTCAAATTAAAGGTAATGCATCAAAAGTGATGTAATCGGAGTAAAATTAATTTAAAACGGTGTAAAAGTGAGAAAATGAACCTGAAAAGCATAACCTATAGAGAGAAATCGAGACAAAGATGATGAATAATGAATGCGCGTAACGGTTGTCTCGCGTTCGCTGTGTTTTAATGCCGACATTTAGACATCGGTTCCCCCAATAACAGACGTCTAAAGTGCTTTAGAAGTCGGTGTGACGGGATCAGACGTCTAAATGGAGTCAAAAAGTGACTTTTAAATTTCTGGGTTGTGTATTTAGACGTCGGTTCCCCCAATAACAGACGTCTAAAGTGCTTTAGAAGTCGGTGTGACGGGATCAGACGTCTAAATGGAGTCAAAAAGTGACTTTTAAATTTCTGGGTTGTGTATTTAGACGTCGGTTCCCCCAATAACAGACGTCTAAAGTGCTTTAGAATTCGGAGTGGAGGTTTCAGACGTCTAAATGGAGTCAATAAGTGACTTATTAAATTATTGGGTTGTGTATTTAGACATCAGTTCCCCTAATAACAGACGTCTAAAGTGCTTTAGAAGTCGGTGTGACGGATCAGACGTCTAAATGGATGCAAAAATTGACTTTTTAAATTTCTGGGTTGTGTATTTAGACGTCGGTTTCCCCAATAACAGACGTCTAAAGTGCTTTAGAAGTCGGTTCCCTCCATAACAGACGTCTAAATAGAATAAAAAAAATTTGTAACTTTTTCGTTTAGTTTTGGCGTCTATTCGGGGGAGCCGACGTATATGAGTATTTAGACGTCGGGCCCCTCCATAGCCGACGTCTAAATAGTTGTTTTATTTACGAAAAATGCCACCGGTCATTTTTTACGTTGGATATTCGAGGTTCAGACGTCTAAAGGGTGACATTAAAGGTCTTTTTTGCACTAGTGATTGTCAGCTGGTATTGCTCCTTGATTTGCTTTGATTTGATTCTATAAACTATTTTTATGTGTTTGCTTATGTTTATAAAAGATATATATAGAGAAAATATTGTTGGAAATGATATAATTTGCTTCATAAGATTGTGATGTTCAAACGAATAAGAAAAGACGGAATTGGGTGATAATATGTGTTTGTATTAATGAATTTGAAAGGAGGGTAGAGAGAGAATTTGCGAATGAAATGCATTTTTAATCTCTACTGATAAGAAGATATTTGTATTGATTATGGGTGAAAACCCCATTTTATCCGTCATAAAATGAGGGAAAAAGTAAAATATAAGGTGATGGAACAAATTCCAAATATCTTATATCTGATTCCAAACACTTTGTATTCAGTTCTAACCATTCATATTCGGTTCAGTTAGAGTTGTCAAAACGGGTAACCCGGTCTGACCCATCACGGGTTGGCCACTTAGTGAGTCAACCCAACCCGACTCATTTATTAGTGAGCCGAAAAAATTTGAACCCGACCCGACTCACCACGGGTTGGTGGGTTAAACGGGTTGGATCATTAGCTCACTTAATTAACTTTTTTTTCAACCTCTTCTTCTAAGACTCTTATGACATGTTACTTTGATCGATCAAATTCAAACAGTAATAATTGGACCAATTGATATAAAAGAAAATTGAACAAAAGAATATATAGTTATATATATTCTAAGCTATCAAACATAAAATTTTGTTAATTTAGTTTAATGAGACATAGACAACCGTTTGACCAAGAAACTACATATAACCGTTAACAAAAATATATAGCACAAGATAAATTTGTCATGCTTGTATATAAGTCTAAAAACAAGATAAAACAAATGACATATTCCTAAAATATCCAATCTATAATATTATTCATCTATTAAATTGAAGTCATGAATAGATAAATGCACAGTATTATGCTCTCTTGAAACATCTTTTTCTTTATCTCCATCTATAATATTATCCAATCTATAATCTTAGGATTTTATTTGCAGAGGAAAACTTTTGGAAAGACAGCAACGCGAAACACTCTATTGCTAAGTAAAGGTTG